AGGCGTGAGAGCCACCGCGCCCGGCCCCATTTATATATTTTTAAATGTGGACTTATAGCTGGTGACTGATGAAGTACCACCAGAATTTTTTACTTAAGTAATGGCTAATTGCTATGGCAGGTGGAAGTTCATGAATCTCTTCTTTTGTTGATTTGTTAGCAGAGAATGTCGGAGATCAAAAGAAAATATAGCTTAGTAAACTGATCATGCTAAGTACCAAAGACGTAGAAAGCAGAGTAGTATTATATTAACATGGAAAATTTGCAGCAAAGGGTCGACTGTGTATAAATCAGCAGCTTTTGCTTTTCGAAATAGGGCAACCTCAGAGTCTTCATTTCCTTAAATCTCAGTAGACTGGGGGCAAGCTGATGTTGGGCAAGTCACACTTATGCTCCATTTCAAGGCTTCTTTATTGTGTTTTATTTTTAATTTTTTAAGAGATGGGGTCTTGCTCTGTCACTCAGGCTGGAGTGCAATAGCACTGCCATAGGTCATTGTAATCTTGATCCCCCCACCTCAGCCTCCTGAGTAGCTGGGACTACAGGCATGCACCACCATGCCCGGCAATTTTTTTTTTCTTCTTTTTTTTTAAGATACAGGGTCTCACTATGTTGTCCAGGCTTATAATGAGCTCCTGTCCTCAAGTGATCCTTCCACCTCAGCCTCAGTAGCTGGGATTACAGGAGTAAGCCATCTTGCCAGCAGAGCTTCTTAAAATACTACAACTTGGGACTTGGGTACTGGGAGTGGAGGTAAACAAATATTTTGATTTCTATACAGCTAAATAGCAAAGTTGAAATGTTGGATCGAGTTAGGAATTTGGATAAGACTCATTACTTCTTTTAGTCCTTTGATATCAGCAAGCTCTACTCCACAAAGAAATCAGGAGATAAGATTATAAGATTACATAAACCTAAAGATATGAAGCAACAGACCTAATCCAAAGTATCAACTATTACCACAAAGAAGTATTCCGTAAGAGCAAACGATAAAAACATAGTAATGGTACCTAGATAAATAGGATCCTTTTGTGGACACGAGCCCACAATTTAGACATATAAATGACTTTCATGGGAGAGTAAAGTTACTTTTGAAAAGATAAACCCTTTCTCCAAAAACATGCAGTAAAACAATCTGGCAAACCAAAGGACCTACAATTTAGAGATAGGAAAAGTGGAACTGGTGGGCAAAGATGGTGGAAATCCCCCTAACAATTAGTCTGGGTTAAAAAAAGCCAATAAAAACAACTTGGGCCGGGCGTAGTGGCTCACACCTGTAATCCTAGCACTCTGGGAGGCTGAAGTGGGAGGATGGCTTCAGGCTAGGAGTTGGAGACCAGCCTGGGCAATAACCCATCTGTACAAAAAAACAGAAAAATCAGCCAGGTGTGGTGGTGTACTCCTGTAGTCCCAGCTATTCGGGAGGCTGAGGCAGGAAGATTGCTTGAGCCCAGGAGTCTGAGGCTGCAGTGAACTATGACGATACCACTGCACTCTAGCCCAGGTGACAGACCAAGATTCTGTCTCCAAGAAAAACAAAAGAAAGAAAAAAAAGAAAAAAAAAAAAAACCCCAAACGAAGACCAACATAGACAGAGTCTACTAATTTTCTAATTGTGATCAACCATTATAAACAACAACCCAGTAAATAGCTCTACAGAAGAAAAGAACTGGTGAATTTCAGGTAAGGCAGACAAAAGAAATAGGAGAAACAAACATACAAAGAATAAATAAATAAATGAAGAAAGGAAGCCAAAGTAGACAGACAGACAGGCATGGAAGGCAATGAACGTCGTAGAAAGAGCACAGGCCTTCGTTCTAGATAAGAACTGTGTAATAATTAACTTAGCTCTTCTAAAACTCAGTTTCCCCATTGCACACAACATTGTGAGCCTAGACTTAAATTATCTGTATGGACTCCCAGCTCCAAAATGCTAAGAGTTTATTATGGGGGACGCAGGAAGGAAAGAATTCAGTGGCTGCAGTATCTGGAAGAAAGCAGATTTTAAGTTTTGCCCTGAAATGCTGAAATGCTGATAATGGGGCAGGCCCACAGACAGTGTTTCTTAAACTCTAGCGTGCATAAGGATCACCTGGGATGTTTATTAAAATGCTGATTGGCTGGGCCCCAGTCTTGGAGTTTTTTGTGCAGGTCTGGGGTAAAACTCCAGCATTTGCATTTCTTTTTTTTTTTTTTTTGAGACAGTCTCATTCTTTTGCCTGGGCTAGAGTGCCCTGGCGTCAGCCTAGCTCACAGCAACCTCAAACTCAGGGGCTCAAGCAATCCTGCCTCAGCCTCCTGAGTAGCTGGGACTACAGACATGCACCACCATGCCCGGCTAATTTTTTCTATATATTTTTTAGTAGTCCAATTAATTTCTTTGTATTTTTTTAGTAGAGATGGGGTCTTGCTCTTGATCAGGTTGATTTCGAACTCCTGAGCTCAAACAATCCGTCCGCCTCGGCCTCAGCATTTGCATTTCTAACAAGCTTCCCAGTGATGCTGCTGGTGTAGGACTACACATGGAGAAACGGTGTCCTAGAGAATAAGTGGCAGAGGGCAAATGAATATGGATATTTGGGGAAAAAAGTTGGCTAGGCGGCTCTTATTTCTTGGTAGGAAAAAAGGATTGATTACCTGTAAGGTGACTGATACACAGATTCTGGAATAACTTGTTTTCTCTGCTGACCAAAGATTTGTTGTTGACCAAAGCTTAATAGTTGAATATAGTTATTTTATAAAACAGTTTATAATATGAATTGGGTATCATACTTGCTAAATTCTTCAAAACTTCAACCTTCACAACTATATAAATGGAAATTTTCATGTAAAATTGGGATCATAAGCTGGACATTCTACTTATGGATCTTGAACACCACAGAAGAGTTATATCATTTGATTTTTTAAAAGAAAATCCATGCTAACACTTACAAAAACTATGTGTAGTAACTTTTTCTTAAAGAATGATGTGCTTTATATAAGAACTTTTCAGATAATGGAACTTGAAATGAAAAAACTTTCTCATATTTTAAGCATTTTAGAAGGATATCTTTCTGTATAGAAAACACGTCTTTCATTACCCACTGTCATCTTAATTCAAACAACAGCCCAAGTTCTATCATGAATAACACCTCTGGGACCAGAGTTGTATGAAACCATTCACTTTGACACTGAATGGACCCAGAGTTCTGTAGGTTTGTCATCTCTGCTGTCTTGTTTATCTCAGTCCCACAGAAGCTATTAGCTATTATTATTTCTCACTGTATTCACCTCTAAGTTGCATGTTAAATTGGTATACTTTTCTTACTTGGACTTAACAGTGACTCTACAGAACGGAATAGGCTTATAGGCTTTAAGAAGTTATTTTCTTGAGATGACTTTTTTATAGTTGTTTATTTACTACCAGATTTTCAGGTTGGTTGAGTTGTTGCTGGCAGTAGGGAAGTGGGCGCTATTAGACTTTTGTGTATTTTTTTGATACAGAATGCAGAATCAGAGACATGGAAGCCTTAGGGCAATGTTAGTATAACTAGTAAAGGAATTATAGTTCTGTTCACTTACAGGGTAAGGTGGCTTAGGTCACTCTTCTTTCCAAAACTCTCAAAAACTTATCAACCTTGGAATACCATGTGAACATTCTAAACATTTCACTGTCTTACATACAACTTGTTTGAAAGTAGAAAGCTTTATAGAGTAACAAAATTCAAGTCAGCTACAAGATAAAGAAGAAATGTAATACGGTGAATCTCATGAGGAAAAAGAGCAAAATCTTCTATGAACTGATCACAAGGGAATTCCTAATGTTGGTATCTTAATATTATTGCTCAAAGTTATATAAAGAGATCATATTTACTGACCTGGGGAATGCTGGGAAGTTGCAAGTGAGGTCATGGAATTAGAGAGGTTAAGGTTGGCAGTGATACTAAGCTGGCTCTGCAGTGCAGGAGGGTAAGGAGATGTGGGTGTCAGGAGGGACTCCTCACTGGTTTCTTCATCAATTCCAGGCAAGTACGTGTCAATCAAGGCATCAAGAAACTTAACAATAAGCTCAGCATAGTCTGGGATTTGTGTTTGCTGTAACGGAAAATAGGAAATTATTTTAGCTCCTTTTTTTTTGTAAATTCCCTCTGAAGCCAAAAAAGATTAATTCAATTTTTGTTTTGGACTTAATTTTCTATTTTTCTTCCTTTGTTTATACTACTTGATCACTAAAAAAAAGGGATCTGGAGTAACATTTATAGACTACCACAGGACTTACAACTGGGAGTTCTATTCAGCTTACATTTAAAGCTTCCAGATGAACCTTTAATTTCTGAAAGCCATGTACAAGACAGACTGAATTTAATACTGAGACAATATAATTATCAGGAATGATGTGTAGCCAATTTTCCAAAATGGAGAAAATGAGCAGAACATCGTCATTCCAACTGCCATGAGAATACGTCCACTCACTAGACACTGTGAAGCGCTCAGAGGGTTACTGGCAATCTAACTACAAAAACTTCTGTGTGACATACTTATTTCTGGGACTTTAGTGACAGCCTTTGCCTGTCAATGGATATTCAGTAGCAGTGAAATGAAATAAACTAAATATCCAGTTCTTAAATTGGAACAAGTTTTAGACAATTCATGTTGATCTAGTACCCTTTGTACCTAGAACACTGCACTAGGTACTGTTCAGGGAAGAAACAGAAGTCCTGCCTTCAAGGAACTTTGATCATTTTGGAGAAAGATCATTTACAGAGAAAATAATTAAACACTGTTATGTAGCACTACCAAAACTCATGCCAATCAAAGAACAAGCTGAATAGGAGCAAGTGAGGATATATCTAGAGAGGAATGAATCTAATCCAACAGATTGGAAGTAGAAATGTTTTCATGAGGTAGATTTTAACCATAGGCGATGTTTCTTGCTAGTCACAAGTTAAGTGCATGCATTAAGACTATCAAATACATAAGGGACTAAGGACAGAAAAGTTTTACAGAGGTTTATCATACCCTTCTGAAAAGATGACCATAAATTGAGTTTTTTTTTTTTTTTTTTATAAAAATGAAAATACAAACATATTAAAGGTGCTGTCTCTTGGAAAAAATCCTGTGGTGAAAAACTTTTCATAAAAATAGCATATGCTTCTGAGTCATTGTTCTGGTGCTCAGCATATTGTGTGTTTTAAAGCAGGCATGGAATGTGGATAGAAATTTTTGTTTTGTCAAAAGTTAGAAAAAATATATTTTCTTACCTTTGAAAAGGGTCCTGCAAACCTCCATAAGCCATTAAAACCAAAACCTGCAACAAATCAAATGTCACTCTTATAACAAGTAAGACATCTTTTAATCATAACAAAAATTAAATAAGTTGTATGGTTGATGATACACAAAACCTATGCACATACTGACAACATGTTTGAGAAAGAGTGTCAAAGCAGACTAAAACCTACATAAAATATATTCAGCATAAAACCACATTTTAATTTTAAAAAGTTGTCAACCAGTTATTAATATATTGAATATATAATTGAGAATCAGAAAATGGCCTTTGGAAAGAAAAGTATGAACAATCCTATCCCTTATAAAGAATTCTGTAGTCAGTGCATTCTACAGCAGTGCGCGTGTTAGCAAGTTCAACCATCCTTCTCCCGATACGTTTATTTACTTTGCAGGTAAGATGTTTGGTATTGTGGTGGGGACTCTTCATGGTATACCACACTCTGCACAATTCCATGGATCGGATTTAACAAATTTGGATCTTGGCACAGTGACAACAGGGTGTTGATCTTAGAGTCCAACAAATTGTGCCTAAAGAAATAAAAGTCAACAGAGGAACATTTTAGAGGAAAATTAAAATATATACTGGAAAACATAACATATATTCCCGAGAACAATGTGGCAAAATTGAAGGGAGATGAGTACTTTTTACTTTCTGGTGCATTTCTACATTTTCCAAATTTTTTATAATCAGAGTGTGAGTGAGTGAGTGAGTGAGTGAGTGAGTG